CTACAGGGATACGAGGGAATGCTTATGAAGAGCAGATTGATGGTGGAATCTCGAGAGAACGTGCAAGCAGCGCGGAGAACAGGAGGACGAGGGCACGATAGAGACCGTGATATTAATAATAGTATTGCCGATTTGACCGAATATTACATAATGATGAGGGTTAGGGTCGAGCGCCTCAACTACGGACTTGATGGCTGTGCATTAGTTGGAATTCACCCTAAGTACGCTCTTTTGCTCCTCTTCCACTTTCCTTTTCGGACATCTACACCCCGCAGGCAACAGACCACCTTCTGAAGTTCATGTTTCTCACTGACAGCACAAATCTGCCCGCCAATATTAATAAGAGAAAGAGGCCATCCTACTCGAATACTTAATCGGGGGGCACCGCGGCCATGATGCATGCCATATATACACACTCTGATAGTGTATGAAACCGACGGTGATACCAGGTGGATTCTTCGGAAGTTGCTGTAGAAGGTAGGCGGTGCAAAGGTAAGAATCTGAGATCCAGAACCTTCTATGCAGAGCGTGAAAAGCTGAGAACCCCACCCGCAAACCAAGTACTGTCTCTTTAGCCGACGCAAGTATTGAGCGAAGACGAAAGGTTGTACCGTATTCCTGCACCACTCAAAGACGGACAAAATTGTCCTCGCGGCGTCAGGCACGTCCGCCATAACCGATCATTTAGTAGCTTCAATCCTCCATATACGAGGCCATGTAACTAGTCCGGTGAGCTGATTGTTTCCGGCGATTTAGAGTGCGCAGGATGCCCATAACCGCCAAAATACCAGACTGACGCTGGCTGCCGCCTCTTAATCGACGCTATCCTATTGGCAATCGCTACACATCTTTCAGTGTCGGCAATCGGTATTCTCCCGGAATATGGTATCGAATTGACTCCATCCGATAGCCCACAGTATGGGCGATGCTAATTCATCGGGCTCCCTGAGTATCTGGTCGTGCGTCTGAAAAGCACGTACCAACTCCCGAGGTGCTTGCTCTGATGCTTGGGAAAAGGCGGCGTGCCCATCAACATTGAACGCTTATCCACCAGAAGCATTACTGGAGAATCCAGCACCGCTCTCTGCGACACAACGCCTTGCGGGTTGAGCTGTTTCCAAGCCAGGCCTTCTGGGACAAGCCCCGCCTCAACCAATATACAGATGACATTTTGCGAAAAACAAGGGTACGGAAGCGATCCAGCACGCTTGTGTTCTATGAGTCGACTTTTGTCCGCCTAGGCTCTCACGATCAAATAGTCATGCCATGGTCGCAGCTCGTCCACTCGAATACATTCAAATGGAGGTAAGGCGTTCACTTTAATGCATCCTATGTGACAGCTGAAGTTCTGCCGTCAGTTTATGGCGTGGGTTCCGGCGATGCTGTACAATAGATGTCCTCATATCGAGTATGCAAACGGAAGAGTAGGGGTGTTTTTCCATTGCATGGCTCTGCGAGGTTCTGGTGCTGCTCATTGCTGCTCTTGCTCCGCCTCACACTGCCAATTTCATAACAACGAAGCGTTGCCTCTTAAAATTGCTACATGCACAGTGTTTCGCCCTTCTGCTTTTCGAGAATCCCTAGCCCAAAGAAGAAGAAAAAACACAGGCGATCATTGGAGACATAAGGGGATCACCTTGAGATGCGTTTTTACGACGCAGTTGAACAAGATGTGTGCACGGGCCTTATGGGTCACGTGACGTAAGCAGTATTAGGTAATACGCTCCGTTATGGAATTCGCGAGCCTCCGTCGCGCGATTCATCATCACCACGGACGGCGACAGCGCGAATTTGAGCAGCGCGAACTTGAGCAGCGCTCACCAGGATACCCTTCGTTCCCCGAATTTCAGTCCCGCGCGCGTCCGTCATGTCCGGCGAAACACCGACCGATGAGCCTGGAGATTTGGCCGAGGAGTATATTCGTTCGATGACCTACTGTGACGCGCATATAATCGCCGAACGTGCGCGCGATGCCGAGCGCGCAGCTAAGATCTTGAAGAAAGGTGGGAGGCTCTTTGCACAGTTTCTCCTGGGTTGTTGATGTTAAGCCGACGCGAAACTTTTGCGCAATGCGATTCAAATAACGCCGCCAGTCGAATTTTGGCTGAGCGACTCCTTTCTCCCCTACAACGAGGGCATGTGGAGGCTTTACGCTGCGCATCCCGACCACTGGATTCCCATCTCCGCCCTCGTTCCTATCTTGAAGCGGCGAAGATGCCTGATCTTCGACGTGAAGGAGACCGTTGCTTGGGTAGCCGACGCGCTCAGGAAGAGCGAAGGCTTGCTTGAGGTGGACGAGAATGGGGAGAACGTACGGAGGAGTGGCGGCATCATGCGCTCGGAGGAGCCCTTTTGCCGGAGTGTATATGCGAAAGGTTTCGGCCAGGAGACGGGCGGGCTGCATGCTCGAATTCAAGCGTTCTTTTCGCAGTATGGAGACGTCGTCGCGGTCAAGATGCGTCGTACTAAACATAAGCAGTTCAAGGTAAGCGCATATATCCCTTCTTTTGTAAAATGTGACTACTTATAAAGCCTCTTAGGGCTCGGTGTTCTGCGAATTTAAACGCAGCGAGACTACCGACGCCTTTTTGGAGTCCGAGCCAGCACCTGCTTGGGATGGAGAACCATTGCTCATTATGTACAAGTAAGCCACCTTCCAGCCTCAATACTCTTGCATGCTGACTTGCGGCCTCGGTCTACCCAGACAAGCTTACTGCCAGGGGAAATACGAGGAGATAGCTAAGGCCCGAGGTGACGCTGGAACCGTTAAGTACGCTCCTCAACAGGCACTCGGCCGCCGGGCGTTCAATGCATTTCGAACTACGAAATCGGCGAAGCGAAAAGCACCCGATGAGGAACCGGACTGGCAGGAAGCCTTGAAGCAAGGTGGGCATGCTTGTAATTTCCTCAGCTACGCCTTTTTATATCACGCGCTCCTGGATCCATTTAGTCGAGCTCTATTTCAGCGATATTAACCTTCTATTCGACCCGCAAATGTGGATCCTTCATTCCAACCGCTCTGACAACTGGGTCCCCATCGCGTCAATTGCTGATCTCAAAGAAATGCGTGTATTTCGACCTTTCGGGCTCGATTGGATCGTCAATGCCATCAGGAAAAGCGAGAGCTTGCTCGAAGTCGACACACAAGGAAGAAAGGTGAGAAGGAAGACCGAGGTTCCGCGACTGGAGAGTCATAGCGTATACGTGAAGGGGTTTGGTGAAGAAGGAGATAAGACACAAGCCGATCTTGAGGGCTTCTTTTCTCAGTATGGGGAGGTGGTATCCGTCAAAATGCATCGTGAGATTGACGGGAAGTTTGATGTGAATCGCCGTTGCGACTTCTGTTGGCTATCACCCGTGCTAACGTAGCAACCCCCAGGGATCTGTAACTTGTCGATTTGACTCTCAAGACGCGGTCGACACATTCCTGGCGGCTGACCCGCCCCCTGCATGGAGCGAAACTGAGCTAGACATATCCCAGTGGGTCATACCCATCCCCGCAGTCGTCTTATGTGATCTTACCATTCATACAGTGGACTCCATGCCCAAGAGCCAGAGGCAGCGCCACAAGGTCGAAGGCGATATGTCAGGTTCGGTAATGAAAAGATGCTGCTCAAGGAAGATGGCACGGTCGATCCGGAGGACATCCATTGGGCCAAAGGATGTACGCTCAAGTTCACGGGCGTCGGGCCTGGGCATTTCAGCTGGCTTGATATTAAGGTCGGTATTCCTTCTATCGTTTTCTATTAGCTCGCGCACCTTATCGGCCTCCGTCCCACAGAAACCGCTCAAGATCTACTTTCGGCGCATTCCGTACGTCAAGATGAGTAACTCGTCCCAGCGGCAGGGTATCATCGGGTTCAAGCGTGCTCTGACGGAATACGACATCGAGAAAGTAAGGACTCTGGTCCCTGTGCTTGCCAAAGGTACCGTCGAGTGGACTCGCCCCTCCGGTAAGTATCAACAATGTCACCGGATATAAGGACACCCGGTTTGATGATACTGCCCATCCACAGAGGAAGAAGAAAGAGACTTTGTGACCGCGCGCGTTCGCGAGCTTGCTGTGAAAGCTCATCAAGGCCCTCTCGAGATGCGCCGCCGTCGACCGGATGCTTATATAAATGGCAAGCGAATCAGAGGCGGGCGCGCGGCAAGGGAAATGTCAAAAAGGACGGGCAGCTCGGTATGGGAAGTTTCATTGGATGATCCTTTCGGCAGCGAAGATGATGGCTGGGGCATCTTCGTTGGCAATACGACGGAGCGGGATGGAGTGCTTGATACTGAGGTAGAAGATCCTGCTCCTTGACAGAGGTGCCATATTGCTCCACAGCTGATACTTTTATCCCGCTCAAGATGTGCGACCTGCTGTAGATATGTACAATTGAAAGGGTGGTGATCAGAGAGTTTGGCATGCGTGGAAAGCGACCCTGAGTCCTGCGTACTACGCTCGCAGACGCAGGCAGACGCTCACCCGAAGGTCACTGGGATCTGCGTGGGATCTGCGGCAGCGCACGGACACTTGCCAAGATCTGGACGCGTAGCCGTGCAAATCAGTGGACTGGAGAGAATCAAGTATAGGGGCGCTCTATGACTATCGATATGAACATCACTATCTGCCTTGTTGGAATGAGAAGCTGATATCCGAGGTGGGCCGCTATATGATATATCTTCTCCTGGGCTGCGCGCGACAGACGAGTAAAGAAGGAAAACGCCTGATGTTGAGCGTTCAACGTTCAACGTTCAACGTTGACCGGTGATCTCTGAACGAACTAATCTCGAGCCTGTAGACCGGACGCAAAACAATATTTGGCAACTACATAAGCCTAGTAGTAGCATGTAAAAACCTAGTTCACACACCAGTGCTAGTACGCAGAATTCTCGTGAGCGTGTGGTGCAGCTGGCGGTGTGCACAAAAGTGCGTATGTAGAAGGTGTCCCTAATAATAGAATGAAATCGAAGCAAAAAAAAAAACACAGAACAGCACACAAGGTGCATATAAAGAGCACAGGCTGGATTCGAACCAGCGGTCCTCCGCACAACCCGGTCCCCCGGACAAGCGTAACCCCTACCACTTAGGCAACCAGGCCCTTGTGACAACGTTAGCCCGTTAGAATTTCTACTCAATGGGATGCCACCAGGCCTGGCTTCCTGTACACTTTCCTGGCTAAATGACCCGGAAATATGTATTCGGATTTACACAATGTACATGTGAAACATTAATGGTTCAAACGTTCAAGTACTAGCCTTAGGTTATAAAACTCGTTCACTCACGATATTATTTTGGTCACCCATTTCCCGCATCTCGTGGCATTGCTCTGAAAGTTGACGGGTCCTGGACATACGCTCCCCGAGATCCCCCCCTTTTTTGTACGCGTCCAACACTGCTAACTGGTTCCTCGAGGTGCGCCTGCGCCTCCCTGTCTGTAGTGTACTTGTCTGCACGTCCGTCATGAAGCCATTGATCGAGCTAAAAGACTCCCTGCTCGGTCGACTGGGCTCTGTAGGGATGCCCTCGCCCTAATACTTCAATTTATCCATTGTTTCCCTCGCGCTGGGACAGCTAATACTATGGCGTATGCAATGGTAGGTAGTGTATTCTCGACGTAGCTGAGTAAATATGGGTGAATGGAGTGTTGGAGTGAGTATAAGTAACAATACTAGTAATGACATGGCAGTGTGGATACAAATCGAAGGGAACAATAAAAATAAGCAATTCATCGATCATCATCGGTAGTCGTTTAACGACCAGTCCTTCAGCGGCGGCGAGCTTTGATCAGTGAATAACAAGATGGTGTGGTTAGCGGCGACGCGGAGCGGAGGGGATTGGTGTCATGACTACTCACCACATCTGGTGGTCCTTACTTCCTCCGGGCCCAACCCCTTCCTCAGACGTCCTGTCGTTTCAGGTGGTACGTCGTCTTCAAAGCAGCAGATCCAGAGATGGCGAAACGTGGGGCAAGCCTTTGCGAACTCGCGCAGCCAGTCTTCTCTTCCTTCCTTATCTCGGCACCGGTGAAGTATTATCTCCTGAAGTGATCCAAGCCTACTGATGGAGCCGGCAAGATAGTCGTTCGTCGAGCTCGAGAAGGTGAACCTGTCCATTGTTATTGTCGAGAGGTGCATTGCAAGCCTTGCCGTAGGTACAAGCGACGCGATAATTCCGTGAACCTCGGGTGTTGCGAATGGCTTCCAGCTTGACTCGGGCGCGACAGTGATGACTAGCGTGGGGAGCCCATCCTTTGACCAACCCTTCACTTTGAACATGTTGTCACGTGAGTCCCGCGTATTCGATTCCACGCCGCCATAGACCAGAAGGTGCGTGGTACGGCCTAGATTGGACATTCCCACCAGCTCGATCCTCGAGTCCGGCAGCAGATCTCCCAACATCTTTTCTGACAGGTCCAGGTACTTTACAGAGATGTCGATGACTGTGTGCGAGTTGACAGCGGCCAAGGCTAGGATGGCTTTAATGGTCGTCGGGTTAACGCCTGTGATCGTAAGGCACGCGAAGGAGGCCGAAAATTTCGTGGAAGTCCACTCTGCGGAGGGTCGACCAAACTCGAAGTCGTCGGGCGATGAAATGAAGTCGACGGATGAAAGGGAGAGCGATTGTAAGCACGGAAGACGAGCGATGAGGCGCAAAAATGTGCGGACGGGGTCAGTCCCATAGAATTGTATTCGGTCCAACGCAAGTTTTTTGATCGGCTCAAAAATTTTCCCGCAGAGAGGCATCGCGACTCCACAAAGTCGAATTTCTCGGAGCAGGGGCGCATCGTTTTCAAAAAAATCTCGAGCTGCTGCGCCTGGAATGACGCCGTCGGTATAGGCTCGGTGCAGAGTTAAAGATCGGAGATTCGGGGCAGGGCCGGTCTGGAGCAGCTGGAAAATCTCGCGCGGCGTGGTGGCATCGATGCCCACGCTAACTGACATCCAACGGTTCCTTTGAGAGTGTAGTAGGACGTATAGTTCCGTGCTCTCCGGGATCGCGAGCCGGTTCCAGTTGATTGCAAAATGGAGAGGGGCTGCGCGGGAACGCGCGAGGAACAGCTCGGTTAGGCTGGGGGGGAGCTTGGTGGGCGTGGCCCACAGGCGCGAGTGTGCCAAGGTTAGACTACGCCATAATGCTGATACTGCCGAGAGGCCAAGTATTGCTTTCGCGGGTTTCGCGGATCGATAGTCGGAAGAAAACACCGTGAACTCAAAGATTAAAGCCAAAAGCTCGTCGGGGAGCCTATTTATCAAGTTGGGGACGACAATATTTGCCTTGAGAAAAAATAATCATGACCTTAAGGGTTGCTGTCAACATTACGGCGTTAGAGGTCATGTTCTTACTTGGTTGGTCATGGTCATGGCGTTTGAGAGCAGTGTTGGGGTTGTTGGAGCCTTAGGAAGAATGTAGCGATGAGCGAGATACGGATGGATCGGAGCACGGGGGAAACAATAATCTTACATGAGCTGCCAGTTCTGGCAGGTCGAGTGCAGATACGGGTGGAGTCACGGCTCTCGCTGGGACGAGATTCTTGGAGACGGTATCAGGGACAATGCGCTCAGACCCTCGCACTGAACGAAACGTACTGTTTCCAAGTACATGTTGACGGAGAGTGGAGGGGGCGCTGTTGAGGGTGGCTAGTGGAGGAGTAGCGATGAGCGATCGTCATCGAAAGTCTGGGATCATTGCGCTAAAGAGATCGCCTTACCTCTTGTGCTGTCGAGGTGGGCGAGGGTGCAGGCGACGACGCCGGCGTCGCAGCCATTGATGAAAGATCGCAGGTGGTGGTGGTGGGAGGAGGAAGCACGGCGAAAAAATTCGCAGCCCAGTCGCGCGAGCTTTATAAATCAAGGGTCACGTGATACAGAAATCACATTGGATACACGCACAAGCATGTCCAAACATTGCGATGTGCTGGCCTGCTGGGTGCGAATCAACTTTTCGCAGAATTTTTCGGATTTCCGCTCCTTTTTCTTCTACCGCCACGTCTGCAGCACCAATTACCAATGGGCGAGCTCCTCACCGCGGCGGCCACTCTCCTCGTCGTCTTCTCCCCTTACATCTACTCCAGTGTGGCCAAGTATCTCGCCGCTCGTCGCGCTCCACCTCCCGCTCCGACGACCCAGCCAGTCGCCGAAAGGACGCCCTTCATACGAGCCCTAGAGGCCCTCCTCGCCGCCCACACGTGTCTTGTTCTTTTCAAGCTATTTTGCGGACGGCCGGCGAATATCTTCACTGACAACGGCGCATCGTTGACCACCCCACCGCTTCCCCTTCGAAATATTCTCCTTACCCGGCTCGCTCAGTTTGAAACGCCCACCCCCGAAGGTTCTCTCCAAGAAAGCTACCTCTCTCCCGAGCTCGAATCCCTTCTTTCTCGGCTCCAGTCGTTCGAAGTGCGCACGTCGTACGTGCGCTTCGGGCATGACGCGGTGCAGAAATGCGCCTACTGTCTCTCGTTTGATGACTTTTGGCTATTTGCCTTGCCTGGGCTGATGCTTTCGTATATTCGCACATTGGCTGTCGTGGGGTCTTTGACCGCAATTGGGAGCGGGAAGAGGCGCTTTAGATGGTGGGCCGTAGGCGCTGTCATAGGCGGGTTTGTCTTAGAGTTGTGGACTCTTCAAACGACGGATATCAGACTTACCGATGACACCGTCATGGTCAGCACATGCCCGTTCTTTGAATTAGTCCACCAAACTAAAACCCTACTTGAACTCATAGCTCCATGATCGGCTGTGGCTTCTCCGCCATCTCGGCTTCCTCGCTATTCCAATCGTCGTATACGCCTTGCCGGTCGCGGGGCATCCCCTTTCACCCCTCCTCACTCTCCCACAAACGCTCGAGAACGTCGAGCGTACGATTCTCACGCTCCGACTCATGGAGCGTACCCGACTTGCTGGCGCACGCTCTCTTCCCCTGCGTGAGCGCGCGACGGAGTGGTCCGAACAGGAGAGGAAGATCAGCGAGTGGGGATACGAAGACCCGCAGCTAATGGCCGAGGCGACCAAGCTGGGCCTGGAGATTGGAATGGACGCGAATGCGGAGCAGGCGGGGAAGATGTCGCTATTGCAGGCGCTGTGCGTTGGACTTGGGGCGCCTATGCCACAGCAAGCACCGCCCACCTAGTTTGGTTGGGTGGTTGTATAGGTTATCTGTTTTTCATGGGGATAGCTGTGTTTTGTGCTTGTAACTGAAGCGTACGTGCATATTGTGGTACTATATTCAAGGACGGAATTCACAAGCTTAATTACCTCATGTGTGACTACTCAAGCCACGCGCTCCTGCCTCAGACCTGCGTATACCCACATGTCCAAGTTCTAGCTATGGCTTTGCCACCACGCGTTTTCGGTTTCCGCGTGCCCACGCGTCTAGGCGGTAGCTCGAGCTTTTCTGCCTCAATCCACCTTCCGTTTTCCATTTCTGTCAAGCTGCGTAGCTTGGAAAGACGGTCCGCCGCGAATATTGAATTCTTTACTTGCTGGCATCCCTGACAGAGGGCGGCTAATGGACAGTCTACACTGGATCATTTCATGACCTCACTTTCTCAATGGCGAGATGCCCCTACCTCCTACGCGGACAGCGCGGCGTTGAAACTCTTTGCGGAGAGTGGCATTTCCACAATTGGTGACCCTGTGAGTTGCGTCTTGGGTGCCTTCATCATCTGCAGATTGAAATCTATTACACATTGGGACTTTCGCGAGCGCCTCGCATTTTTTGGGAAAAGCGCGCAACGACCCCACATACCTACTTGGATTCCGTCACGCGACCGCCACAGCCTCGTGGTCGCCTGCAATATGCAGTTGGCTAGCGGCTAAAGTTGTGGGCTGGGTGGCAAATGCACCCTCTTCCTACCACCACGAAGTCCGCCTCGTACCTCCCTCTTGCTCATCCAACCTCGCTATTGCTTACTATGGGTGAAGATATTGAAGAGCGAAGCTGCACCGCGCCATCCGAGCTAAAGACTTCCAACTGGCGAAACAACTGGTTGAACAAGGAGCCAATGTCCGCGCGCGCGATATCTCTGGCTGGGAGCCGTTGCGCTTCCTTGCCGTGCTCCAGACAGACTATTTGGACATCCTCTCCTCGAGCTCCTTC